TGATAAATCTTTCCAAGTAAAATACTTTTGAGAAAATGAATTTAATAGGAATGTATTGAAGATTAGGAAGTCCCATTGAATAGTTAGAATACAAGGAGGCCATCATTAACATAATAAGTAAGAGCAAGAGAGAAAGAGATTTCATGAAAGGAAGAAAATAAAGAAACAACAATTAAGTTTGGATATGCAAGAGACAGAAAAGTAGTGAAGATTTTGGACTAGATTTCGAGAACCAAGAAGGCAAATAACGGTTAGAGTGCTTTTTTTTCTTGAAGAGAAAAAAATATGTTATGAAGAAAAATGTTATAGATTTTAAACGAGATTTGGGGTTATTTATGTTGCGGTATCTGGCCTTTAAGCCTTGAGTGCATGCATAAACTATGATTATGGTAATACTGTACTCCAGTTGAAGTTTGTGGTCCATGTGGGACCAGATAGGCTGCCTTGGTGTGCCCTTTGACTCACCCGTATTTGGTCATTTAGGCTCGGGAGTTGAGTCGAAAATCCTTTAGCTCTAGGTATAAAGCACAACCATAGAGGATTTGTAGGGTTAGCCCTTGTTAAAGTCGGAGAGATGCCCGGGGTGGATTAGCTAGGAGGATGTCAGTGTCTTGTGTGCAATTGGTGGCTTGTAAGGGAAGGGTTTAAATTCTCAACTTTACCATCAAACGACATCTATGTATTATAGCTTCATCTATGGGAGGCGACCCAATGGGGCAAGACATGTGCATGTGCGGAAGAGATGCCCCCTGCACCATTGCGATGGTGTGCACATGGGGACATGGCTTGTCCTTAGGGCGAAGCCTGTAATACCACAAAATAGACTTGTGTTCTCTCCATCTATTGGTTAGCTTTGATGAACCAAGTATGAGCTCCTGTTAGGCACCTTGACTATAGACATTTTTCTTTTTACTGGGCTGCTCAGGTTTTGGGTATCCGCCTAGGTGCTCTCCTAAGCACTAAGCAGCCTGGACCCCTCCCGACGGACTAGGTGCTGCCTACCTTGTTTTAAAGCACTGGTTTCAGCTAGGTTTTGTTGCCTCTCTACCTTAGGTTTGTGATTTCGGCCAACCAATGGCAACAATAAGAAGTCAAGATAGGGGTATACATATCGATCCAATTCGTGATAAACAAGATCCAGAGATAAGGGATCTAAGTTGAGAAGTTCAAGAACTTACAAGGCGGTTTGTAGGAATCGATCGTGGGCAAGATGAAGTTTTGTCTGTCCAAAATGATGTTGAGTACAACCCCTTGCATTATCGTGCTCCGCATGATGAGTATAGTGAAGAGTAATATGTTGAAGGTATTGCTGGCACTGAAAATCCATAAAGCATATTCCTAATTTTGAAGGGAAGTCACAGTCTGACGACTTCACAAACTGGTTAAACAAAGTAGAGAGGGTCCTTGATTACAAGGATGTGCTAGAGAATAAAAATGGTTAAAATTATTACAATTAAATTGAAGAAACATTCTTTGGTATGGGGAACAACTGAGAGCAAGGCGAGAAAGAATTAGAAAACCTAAAATTGTGTCATGTGAGAAGGTGAGGAATAAGATGAAGGAAAAATATCTCCCTAAATGTTAGTTACAATCATTATATCAAAAGATGCATGTGTTGCGCTAAGGAGATAGGTCGGTAGATGAATATACAGATGAGTTTCACCTTTGGACTGCCCTTAGTGATGCGATTGAGCTGGAGGAGTAGTCCATTGCCAAATATGTGAAGGGATTGTGCCAATCAATTCAGAAAATGATTGTTTTGCAATGGTATTGTACCCTTGATGTGGTCTATAACCTTGCAAAGACAGTTGAAACTAAGCAGAAATGATCCTCGAATAGGTGGGGTGGGTGCGAATAATGAGGGAACTAGGGCAGCAGCATGTGGTGGTGATTTTGGAAGAAAAGACAGTGTGATGGATGCTAGTTCGACATCTCCCACTGCTGGAACGACCAACCAGCAAGGTGCCTGCGCCAAAAAGAGGTTGTTTCAGGAGTCAGGCGATCTGAAAGGGGTATTTGTGGCAACATCAAGTGCTACAAGTGTTTGGGAATTGGGCATGTCTCATCACAACATCCAAATCGCCAGTTCGTTGACCTTTCTGAGGAGTTTTTTTGATGAGGACAACATGCACTCTTTTGAATCCGATCCCAACAATGATGAGTCGGTTGATGAAGAGGACCCTGAAGTGACATTTAGTGATCATTGGGAGGCTTTGGTGATTCGATGCAGCATGATTACACCCCAAGTAATAAATGAGGAACTGAGAATGGACTTTCTTCCCCAAATCCTTGATGATCCATGTGATTTCATGGGTGATGCAATCTTTGACAAGAGATCTTTTGATGGAGATGTTCATCCTGTCTTTGATAGTGATCCCATCTTTAATGATGGTCCTATCTTGGATGATGCTTGGTGGGTGACATCATCTATGGAGAGCGACAAAGTGAAGATGAGGAAGATCAAGGAGGTGACGGTGGTAGTAAGGATATTGTTTCTCTTGATGTCTTGCCCAAATATGGGGTATCATGTGAGGCACGGCCCTAGGGTTAGGTGATATTTTTCTATGAGCTTTTTGCTTGTGAGTTCAATATAGAAGGTGGCCATTGAATGATTAATTATGTGATTCCTGATGTTAGTGATCAACTTCAGCCCTTTGTTTTGTTTTGAGTGGAGAACCCATAAATTTAATTACTGTGTGCGAGTTGAAGGAAATCATAGGGACAACGTACCATTAATCTTTCGCTGTTTCAAAATTTGTGGTCTAATATTCTCTTATGCACCCAGGACCAAGTTTATTGTACTTATGTAAGCATGGCGGTTCGCCAATTCCCAATGGACCAAGACATGGTTGATTTTATGTCCATGGGAGGTGCAATAAATGGCAAGCCTTGATCTCAAGTCTTGTTAATGTGGGATATTTGATGCTGGTTTATCTACGCAAATATAGGCATCCTGTGGGCAAATACAACAAGTTGAATAACAGGAAGATCAAATCATTTTAGGTACTGAAGAAGCTGAGGAGTAATGCCTATAAGATTGACCTTCCAGCTTAGGTTGAGACCTCGAATGTGTTTAATATTGTTGAGCTTTTTTTAGTATTGCAGATCGAAAGGCGAACTCAACTTGAGATCATGTTATTCTCAACTAGAGGAGAATGATGCATTGGACAGTCCTTAGACTAGTCAAGACAGTTCTCATTGGCCTTTTGACAAAATCAATTGATCATCTGACAATCCCCTTATGATGATCCACATTCCAAGATCACAAAGACATTTAGGAGGGGAAGGCGGACTTTCTGAAGGTGTTTATTTTTAGTTTGTTGCTGACCTTTTATGTTTTAATTTGAGTGAAGGGACTTATGGGGTATTCTTATAATGTTTTAACTTAAGTAGGGTAGTTTTGGTCGTTGTTTATTTTAATGTAATAAAAGGACCTAGTGTATTAAGGTTTCTAGCACTTTTTGGGCATGAACAGTAATAAGAAGGTGTATACACGAGGCCATATATACGGTTTTGGAGTCTCTTTTTTGTGCAAGGAAAGCCAGATCCACTCAAATCTAACCTGTTTTTGCCTCTTTTCTCTATTTTCCAGCATCAGATTTTCAAATATTTGAAGTTAAATTCTCTTAGCACGTTCTTAAGGGACTTGAGGGGTTGTGTACCCCTAAAACCTTTGCCTCTTTCAAGGGGAAAATGATGAAATAGCTCTGCTCATCGGCATTTTTTCTGGCTATAAGTTGGGTGTCAAGTTGCAAGTGGATGCAACCGCATAGGTGCATCACGTAAACACCTCTACATTGGCCAATGAGGTGCAGCCAGGGACCACATTGTTTTGATGTGGCTGCATTATGCATTGCACACCCGCATTTGATAACCATCTTGTGAAGCTTACGACCTCAGTTTCTGTGTATCTTAGAGCATTAAACCAATATATCATCCCTAAAATGGATATGGATGATGCAAGGCCACATGGAAGAGGTGTCCCCTTGACAGATAATCTTCCACAGGAAGCTCTTGTGAGAATATACCCCTTTCGAAGGGTTGTACAAGTTGCATAAAACCCAGGAGTTTTCTTTCATACAAGAAGCATTTCCGAATTTTTCACTTATCTGCAATCCACTATTTTTGCATAGCACATACTTCTGACATGTCTCACCAGCTCGTGGAGATGATATACTGATTAATATATTAAATTATTTTCTTTTATTATTTTGAATTTTTTTTTTTTTGGAGATGTACTGATTAACATAGTGAATTAATTTTCTTTTATTTTGTTCATTGGTTGAATTATTGTTCTAGTGTGATATGCTTTTGCAGAGAAATAATGCCAAGAGAACATGCAACTTCCATAGTCTGTGATGATATCAGAACCTTAAATTTGTACATTAATCATAGTTAGCTTTCTCAATGTGTTTCTTCTGTGGCTGCCACTTGTTACATTAAACTCTTCCTTGTTACTTATGTTGGTATTAAATGTAGGAAATTGGTTTAGTTGCACTGGCGATGCTATAGCAAAAGTTCCGTGTTATGATAATTTATTTACTGAAAGGAGGTATAATAATCATACTTGGATAATAGGAATCAACCACAGCCTTTGGCATCATCAGATAAAATTGGACGGTGCAAGATGCGTCAATACTGACAGGGTGTCAGCACATCCTGTGCTGTCCATTTTTATTGGATGTCACAAAAGGCCGTGGCTGAATGCACCTGCAAACGTGTCAAAACCCCACCCATGGATATGTGCTTCACATGTAGATGCTACATTGGTAAAGACATTACTAACAGACCTGTGAAAAGCTATATATGAGTATACTGTCGCAACTCAGATGAAAAGAAATACTTGTGACCAATTGTTATGTCATTTTGGGTCCCAATGAAGCTCACCATTTTCTGGAAGTAATTATTGCAATTTTAATTGTCATCATTGACTTCTATCGACTAATCAAGAGGATAGATTAATGCTGAAGATAGATTTCTTTGTAACTCTCATTTTGCAGTGAAGTTATCCAAAGGACCAGGAGTCTTTGAAGGCCATCTTTCAATTGACTCATCAGATGAAGTTAAAGATACATTTATATCATTGAAAGGTTGGAACAAGGGTGTTCTCTTTGTTAACAACTTTAACATTGGAAGGTTCTGGGTGGTAAATTTTCTTACATTATAACCTATGTGATGTAGCCTGTGAAAGGATTTTTCTTGAAAAATTCTAAAATTGACCTTGCAGTTGTGCAAATTTGCACTAGCAGTTGTGCAAATTTGCACTGTCATAACTTGTCTTTTCACCTACTGATCCGCTGCACAATCTTGTGTGTAATGCAGTCTGTTGGACCCCAATGCACCCTTTATCTTCCTGCTCCACTGCTGCATTATGGAGAAAATGTTGTGGTATGTAAGATTATCTCATGTTTATGAATTTATTCCTTATTCACATTGGATGGTGTTTACCCTCATGCCCAATTACATCTGCTTTGAGCAATTCACTAGATTCAATTGTTTTCTGAACATAATATCAGGAACTTTATGAGTCATATGCATATGTTCATGTTCAAGCTAATACCACTTATCATGATTGGCTTGATAATAAACATGCTAGTGGAAATCCTTAATCTCTTTGACAACGGAAAATTAAGACTGGCAAAAGAAGTTGCATTAGTGGAGTTCGCGATCCTGGTGCCAATCCTTACGTTATTTGTCCTCCAGATTGCAACGTTTGGCTTATCACTAGGTTTTTGGATTACAAGAATCATTATGCCCATGCAAGTATTTTCCCAGTCAGAAACTACTGGAAGTGGAAATTGATGGCAAGGGAAATCAAATAACTAAAGTGATAGGCAGAGAAAAAACTATAAGTGATTCACAAAACCGATCTATACATTATTTGCCCTCCAGTTTGCAACATTGTTATTATCATAGGTTTTGAAAAGACCAATCATTATGTCCACATATTGACTCACTGGAAACTTCTGGAAGTGAAAAGTGGTAGAAAGGGAAACATAGATGAAGTAAATAGCGGAGAGGAGGAAAACATGATGTTCGGACAAACTTCGAGAAATTATGTTGTTGTATATTAGGATATGCTAGAGACCCTCTTTTCTAAGCTTTAGATTATACAATATGGCATGCCTTTAGTTTCCTTTATGTTGTTTTATATTAGGATGCTAGAGACTTATTTTCTAAGCTTTAGACTATACAATATGGCATGCCTTTAGTTTCCTTTGCAATTACATGCATGGATACCAATAACAATAAATTAATTAAATGTATAAACATGCAAATCCAGCTGACCAAGCTATGCATATCCTGGTTGACTAAGCTATTCAACTAGATTTTGAGAATAAAAAAAATACCAGAGGAATGGAAAAGAAGTACGTGGGTACCTATTTACCAGAGAAAAAGAGACATGCAGAATTATACGAATTGAGGTATCAAACTTAAGAGCCACACTATGAAGCCGTAGGAGAGTGTGATTTAACAATGACTGCAATATGAAACATATGTATTATAAATCAGTTCGGTTTTATGCCTGGGAGGTCAACAATTGAGACTATGTTTTTACTTGGGCAATTGATTAAGAAGTTCAGGGAGAAGAGAAAGGACCTCAACGTGGTATTTATTGATTTGAAAAAGCATGCAATAGTGTACTTAGAGAGTTATTTTGGTGTACCTAGAGAGTTATTTTCGTGGGTATTAGAAAAGAAATGAGTCTCAGGAGGATACATTAACATGGTCAGAGATATATATGCGGGAGTGCTAACTAGTGTGAGGACAACTAGTGGAGACAAGTGAATTTTAGTGACAATAGGACTATATCAAGGGTTAGCTTTGATCTCATATCTTTTTGTTTTGTTTATGGATGAGTTAGCTAGGCATCTGCAAGATGAGGGACCATGGTGTATTTTGTTTGTGGATGACATAGCTTAGATTGATGAGACTAGAGATGGTGTCAACGTAAAGTTAGGACTTTGGCAAGATTCTTTAGAATCAAAAGGTTTTAAAAGTAGTTGGACTAAGACGGTTTATATGGTATGTAAGGTTAGTAACAATATGAGTTGAAACGAGGAACTAGTTAAGATTGATGGCCAAGAAATATCGCAAAAGGAGATTATTTTCAATATTTTGGGTCTATTATCCATGAGAATGGAGAGATTGAGGAAGATGTCATGTACAGAATTGAACCTGTGTGGATGAAGTGAATATGTGCTTTCGAAGTCTTATGTGATCTTCACATACTAATGAAATTGAAGGGGAAGTTCTATAGGACGGCTACGAGACCAGCAATGCTTTATGGGACGGAATGTTGGGCGATCAAGAAACAATATATGCATACAATAAGTATAGTTGAGATGAGGATGTTGAGATGGGTGAGTGGCAAGACAAGAATGGACAAAAGACTTAGGGTGGCTCCAATAGGTGATAGATGAGAGAAAGAATACTCTTAGGTGGTCTGGGCTCACACCACGTCAACCTAGAACACCACCAGTTAGAAGGGGATTTGGTTTAAGTAGAAAGCCTTAAAAGGCCAAGGTAAAGGCCCAAAAGGATATAGATAGAAGTAGTGAGAAGAGATATGGTGACCTATAGTCTGATTGAGGGTATTGCCCTTGATAAAACAGAATGGTGGAATATGATTTATGTAGTCGATCTCAAGAGTTGGGATAAGGCTCAAATGATGATGACGATGGTGAAACATGCAAACCTGGTACATAGTTAAGGTAATATACGAACATGGGTAGCAATTTACCCATTAGCTTGCTCAACAGTCCCTGTACTCTCACCTCAATGTTACCCGGACTGATGTAGTGGAATCCACAAACATAAGTTTGCCTACCTTGATGGTTTGTTCTTACCATTATCTTGCTAAATAAGTCAGCGAATTGAAACTCAAAAAGATGAAAAGACATATGCCCACAACTATCTCTCTTTGATGATGGTTATAGTCCACTCAAATATTCTTACTGTCTATGTTAAAGACTTTGCTCAGGGCAAGCTGGATAGCACTAGTATCATTAGCATGTAATGGAGGCGGTATGGAAAGTATAGTTATCAGGAATATAGTCAGCCAACAAACTGTTCAAAGGTGAACGTAGAATTTACTATTACAAAATGTTTTTATCATAAAATGTCCTAATATATTCAAAAATGATTTTTAACTATAAATAATTTACGTATTTTAGGAAGGGTATTTTTGTCTTTTAAAAATCCCTCCAAACCTCAATTTCAAAATTAAAAGCACTCCTTTGACATTTTGACTGATACTGAATTTTAAAAGCAATTAAAATTATAAATATGCCTTATTTTCTTAATATAAATAATTTATTATTAATGCAATTTTATTGTCAAAAGTTTTTTAGTAGTAAATTCTAGATTCATTATTAGTGTGGTGTATCCTAGAGTAACCCATATATATATATATATATATATGGAAAAGTTTTAAAAATGCCTATAGGCGAATTGCTACAGTGTTTTGCCCCTCGTCATGGACATGCAATGTCCATGACGGTTTTGCCTAAAAACCGCCACATACTTACGGGAGCCGTGGCGGTCCGTGTATACTTTTTGTGTCAAATTTGCGTGAAAAAAATCCTGTCACAAATATGCTATATCCATGACGGTCTTTAATCCATGTCGTCCGAAGGCATTAGGTAGTGGCTTCATATATATATATATATATATATATATATATAGGAAGGGGGCCATCACTTAGTGTGATAGTAAAAGGCTTGTGTAGCTAGCACGGATTCGACTCCTGAGAGCGGCCACTTTGTACATAAGCCAAAGGTTAGGACCATTTCCAGGCCACCCCTCTTGAGACCCTGCTTAGGCAGAACCAGCACCGGGTTACGGCCTTTTTTTTTACATATAGACAAATGGGAAATACTTGATACTCTCATGAACTAGTTTCTACGAGACTACGACATTAGGTACACCCTAAGAACTCCTGAAAACCTATTTAAGAAGATTTGATTGACCTAATATCCTATCAAATCTTGTAAGTTACATTTAGAAAGGGGTGTGAATGGTAAAAATATTTCTTAAATTACCCCTTCTTTATTGCATGATAATGCCATAAATAAGATCATTTTTATCATAAGGAAGAGTATTGATGATATTTTTTACTAAAAGACAGGTTATGTTTGTCATCTAAAGAAGGGAATTTTTGAAATATTTAGTAAAACACAAGGGCAATTGTATTAATAAAGTACCTAGAGTTTCACTCCATAATTACCTTTGTCTTTTAGTGTAAATATCAACAATACTCCTTAATGACAAAAGTGCCCTTACTCATTTAATAACCTTAGAATAAAGAAATGGACAACTAATGTAATATTAATAATACACATCCTTTTCTAAATGTAATATATAGAATTTCATGGGGTATGAGAATGTTATTCATAAACTCTCTGACAACAAATACTAAATACTAAAAACAGTGGATTGTATTCACTGAACCAATACCAGGAGTAAAATAAGAGAAACTGGTAATGAAGACGATGCAGTTAATACACTGCTATATTCTATTATCCTACACTTTGTAGGAAGTACTGTCCTACAGTCTGATAAGACTTAGGGCCAATTATCAAAACTCGTATGTCCCATTTTGTCCCATTATAAATGGTACAAAGATGTGTTTTGGTCGAGACTACTTACTAGAGAAGACGCCGGAGCCGATTATTGGAAGGAACAGTTTATAGCAGAACTTCCTAACTTATTTGCTGAAAAGGTTAGGACAAGTTTAAGAAACAAACATAATGGGAGAATACCATATAACCAATATACCATAGGAGAATTATCTACAGAAATCTGTGTAGAAGGGTTAGATTTATGCATAGATCTCAAGCAAAGAAAATAGCTTGAAAAAGATAGAATGACTGGTAAAAAGGAACTAGGAGACTTTTGGGAACAATTTGGTTATGAGCCCTTAAAAGCAGGGTATTTGACAAGACAAAAGTCTAAAGACAAATTAAGAAACAAGTTCTATAAAAGAAAATCAAATAAACCTTTTAAAAAGAATAAAAGGTCTATCCTTAAGAAGGGAATAAGAGGAAGATTACAGTCTGTTATAACTGTAACAAATTAGGGCACATAAAAAATAAATGCAGGGTCAAGAAGAAAATCAACTCTTTAAATATTGAGGACAGTTTGAAAGAACAACTTTGCCAAATATTTGTAAAAACTGATCTGTTTGAAGAAACATCTGACGAGGAACGCATAATAGGTAACATTGAAGATGAAAACTTGATAGTTTCTAGCACATATGAGGAATCCTTTGAAACAGAGGAAGAAAGTGAGGATAAAATGGATTGTGATTGTAATTACTACAGAGCTATTCTCAATATGAATGGGTTAGAAATAAATGTCCTAACTAATGAGCAAAATCTTATATT